AAAAAACAAGAATTTTTTTTTTTTTGAAAAAAAAAGTTTGCAAAAATGTTGCAATTTTTATGATGAGTAGATTTCAATTGAAATATATCGATCTTCTAGTATTTCGCTTTGGTCACTTCAATTGCGATGTTGATGATGATGTTGTTGATGAACACAATTAAAATGCTACTGGACGATGACGACAAATTTCAGTGTCAAAAATTTGCCCAACGTTTGTTGGCTACTGTCCACTCTAATCATCCACCAATCTGTCTGTAATACTATTCGGCTATAAAAGTTATGGTGCAAAACAGTTTCAATCAGTACAGCAGTTTCAGAGAGCTTTAATTTGTATTAAATTAAGCAAATACCTACCACTAAAGTTCTTTTATTTTCTTCACTCTCTGTTTTCTTCGCTTCAACAAAAACAATCGTAACAACGGTTCAAGGAAGTTAATTTTTTTGGTCTTTTTTCACTTTTTGCAAAAAAATTGCTTTTTTAACAAAATCTTCCTTTTTCTACTATTAGTGCTCAATTTTGGCCAACACGTTCAAAAAACTGAAAAATAAAAGATAAAACTAAAAAAAATATATATATAAATATATTGAAATACATTGGTTTAGTCGGTTTTTGTTTTGTTTTGTTTTGTTTACCAACAGTTCTTCATTCAAAAATTTTTATTTCCGCATCGAAACTCAACACTTAACATTTATTCAGCAAAACTGTTGTTTACCAAAAAATTTTTCTTTTAGCCCAATTCGAACATAGTTGGCTATATTTGAAAAACTATTTAAAAACAAATTCATTTTTGTACGGGAATGTTCACAAATATATTAAGTAGAAAGCCCGAAAAAATCATTCACCTAGTCAGCCAGTCAGTCAATCATTCATTCAGTCACCCAGTCATTTAGTTAGTAACTTCCATAAGTAAATAAAAAGCATTGGTAATTGGTTAAAAAAAAATGAATAGATAAAAATGATGGTAAAGAAACATTTTAAGTTACAAAACAAAAAGTCTGAGAAAATCAGAGGAAATAGAGAAAAAAAGTGTTTTTTTCAACTTCTTATTCTGCATAATATTCTTGATTTTTTTTCTCTGATGATGGTTTTTTGAGTAGCAGAAGAAAGAAAAAGATTCAGAATTAGTTTAAAAAAAAAGAAGAGAAAAAGAAAGCTTGGGTTTCTGAGTTTTTAAGGTTTCCGGTGTTTTCGGTTAGTTCAAGATTCAAAACAAACAAGAGGGTAAATAAATGCCAAGAAGACTAGCAGAGTCATTGGTTGGCATTATACTGCTGTTATTGCTGTTGACGCCGCTGCTGATGCTACTGCTACTGCTATCGCTGCTCCTGCTGTTGTTGTTATAGGTGTTGTTCCTGTTGCTGCCGCTACCAACGCTGCCGCTGCTGTTACTGGTAGTGCTACTGATGCAGTTTGCTTATGTAAACCTTGGTTAGTGTTACCCGTTGCGGAGGTTTCTGTTGAAACAAAGCTGTTACAGTTCCGCTGCAGTTGGTCGACACTAAACACGGTAGCTCTATAGGTGACTGGCCTCGTTTTCGTTGCACCTTACTAAGTGAGCATTTGTTAGTGGTGTATGTATAAGTGAGTGAGCGAATGAACGACTGAGTGAATGAGTAAGCGAGCAAAACAACGTTGTGCGGATGGTTTGACTAAGCGAGAAACTAAGTGAGCAGATCAAGAACTACTGACTGGCGCTTTATTCTGGAACTCTCAGTTATTTGTTATCACAAAGCTTCTTCGTTAACGGTGTGCTGGTTATTCACTGCTAATTGTGCTAGACGTGAGTTCCAAGAAGAACAAAAATCAAATTTTTTACTTGTTAAAATGGAAGGGTGAAAAAAGTGGGAGAAAAAAGATCATGTAGTTCCCAAAAGAAAGGAAATAGTTTTTTGATTGTTCACATGTTTATAATTTCTTTTAATATAACCGTCAAATAACCCCGTTCCGCTGTAACAGAAAGCAGATGAAGAAACAGAGGAGGTGAAAGAAAACTGAAGGCTGAAAGCTAACATTAAATTGTTATTAGGCAACAAATATTAACAAATAATTAGCGACAGAAATATAACGGTGTTAAATTTCGCAAAGAGATCTGCTAAGTAAGGTAAGAATTAGTTATAAATTTACTTACAATGAATTTTCGACTTTTTTTTCAAAGTTCGTTACTGCCTTAACAGTTACATTATCTTCACCCTTTTTTTTACCTTTTTTTCTTCCACTGACTTCTTCTAGCATCTAAATATATTACCAACAAAAATACAAAGTTCATTGAAACTTGAAAAACACAGCTTTTTGTCTACCTCCAAAATTATTGGATTTGTCAATAAAAGTTCAACGAAAACACAAAGGAGTTTTGAATAAGCACTAAAAACTGCTTCAAATACAGTATGATTTCTGTTCACAACATCATCATTCTCAATAATGTCGTCGCTGCTGTAACTTTTTTTGTTGCTGTCGTTATCGTCATCTTATAAGGATGATGATCTGTGTCCGCTGGCATTATTCAGTAACAATGTTAAAGGTCGAATAAAGGATTCCTTTTTTTTCATATAGAGCAAAATTTTCAATGGCCCACACTATCGAAGTTCAAGGTTTTACAATTACATACCATCTTCTACCAAAATGTATCTACCAATAAGCTTGGTAATGCTTTGCGAATAAAAAAACGATATCTTTGACTTTATTTTTGTCGTTTAATTTTTTCTCATATTTTGACGGAAATCAATGGTTACAGAGTGTTACAGACATTTAACGATACACAAATTAAACAACAAAAATAAGCTTTATACAGTTTTCAATCTTCGTTTATTCTATGCCTGTTACTTTTTCTTTCTTTTCTATTCTTTTTCTCACTCAAAAACACGACAGTTTTACTGAACAAGCACACTGAACTGCGCAACCTTTAGCTGGTGTCCAGATGACAGGCGTCGGGGCAGAAGTTTGCAGAAGACGGTTTCTGGCGTTACAACTGCGCACACTGTGTTACTTTTTTTGTTTGATTGCATGCATCAGTTAAAACAGCTGCGTGAGGACACTCATGAAATTTTGGGTATCAAATCAATGTTTTAAAATTGTAGATGTCACCAGCGCACATTTGTTGAACCGATGTTTAGCGGTGAAGTGGGAGAGAGGTGGAGGTGTAGACGGGGGCTGTTATCAGGACACTTCATTTTTTTTTCTGCTATATCAACAAATTCTGAAACTAATTTTACTGGTTCTGTTTTTTCTCACTTTTTTTTCCAGCTTTTTCATCTGTCAAGTAGTATATTTTTGCTAAAATTTAGTACGCTAAACAAAACTGATTTTTTGTGGCAAGATATGGTATCGTAGAACATTTGCATTTTAAGCAGCAAAATTGGTATTCGAAACTACACTGAAGAAAGGAGTGCAAGTGAAAAAAAAATTCGATCTAAATTTATTCTCTTTACCGTTTAAATGTCACAGCTACGATTCTTTGGTCATTAACTTTAGAAGAAGTACTTTAGTAATTTTATATCAAAAGAAATTCAGAATTTTTCTTGTTTTTTTTGCCAAATAAAATAAACTACAGATTCACTGTAGGATTAAAATTGCAAAGAAAACCAAAAAACATGAGAAAAAGCAACTTTTTTTCTTCTATTTATATACCTAAGTAAACTTTTTAAAACTAATGAAAAATGTTGAAAAAAAATATTTCTTTTTTTCTGTTGATATTATACTCTTACAATCAAACTAATCAAATAAGTACTAGTTTTCGCGCTCTGTTCTTTGTTGACAAAAATTTGTGCTTGGAACTGTCTAGCAGTCGATACGCAACTTGTGGATAATAGAATCCTATAATTCCTGAAGCTTTGTGGTGGAATCATCTTTGCCGTGCTATCAATGTGTACGTGAAAAAGGATTTGTAACCATAAACCCGTCCTTTTTTCTCTTATTGCACCAGTAAGGAAGGAAGGAGAAAACGGATGCAGATATTGACGATTATTGAATTAAATTCGTTGATTAAAACGAAACAGTATCACATAATAATCAGGTAACAAAGTAGAAAAAATATGAAAGAAGGAAGGGAAAAACGTATAAAAGGAAAAACGGTGAGAAAAAATAGATTTAAAGAATTGAAACTTATTGCTAGCTTTTCTTCCTACAGCATTCTCGACCTTCATTCTACGCTTTTTTTTTTTTGGTTGCGCTAAAAACGACATTGCATAATTTTGCGTTAAACGGCGGAATTTTGTTCAGTTTATTCGCAAAAACGAAATCCCCTCTTTCTACGTTCCCAATAACAGGCGGAAAAACTAATACCTGTATGGAGGCAATGGTAAATCTTGCGTGTTGACATTTCAAGCTTCAAAATTTTTTCCAGTGGACAATTGCTAAGTTTGTGCTCTATTATTATTACTTAAAAATACAGCAAAACACAACGAACCAAGCAAAAAAGCAATCTGGTTTTTGGGGCCAGGCGGCACCTTTTACGCAATACTATTTGCTCAGCCGCAAACTATCAGAATTTTTAGGCACTCTCTGAAAGGTGAAACACACACTCTCTTTTCGTTCTCAATATAAATATTATTTTATGATCGAGGTGCTATCCTCACACCTAATACTCTTTCTGTTTGGAAAACCACGTCAAAAAAGAACCACATGGACAAGCTTAGAGGGGACAGAGACCGGTAACCCGACGCAGATGTTTAACAGAGGTTACAAACAGAAGGCCCAGCAGAGCGCAAAAGAAACGGAAGAGGCGGCTAGACCGCAAGGAGGCAGACACCGAGCACTTTGCAGTTGTATGGAAAACAGAGAGAGACGGAAAGACGAGACGAGAGGGGAGAAGAGGTACGAAAAGACAGTAGACGGGTTTACCTGGGTTTCAAAAAGCAAATTTTAACTCAACCGTGAACACAGCTTTCAAGTATTATTTTTATTTAAATACGCTGCTGACTATTGAAACATCTATGGAAGGGCTCTTTTTGCGCCATCAACAGGTTTATCTGTCCATCATAGCCAACTACCAGCACCATTGTCGTCAACAGTCGTCACTACCAGCACCAGCACCACCAGCACCACCATCACCAGCAGCACAGCGAACGCCAACACCGTCACCACCGTCGTCGCATTGTACATTCTGCACTCTCCTTTTCTTCCCCTCTCATTTCCTTCATCGTCCCGCACTGTTACATAATAATATCCAACAACAGCGAGATGCTGAGCGTTGTTTACGCTTTTTTTGGTACCAACCTGTGTGGTTTTGATTAGTTTGACAACAAACTTTAGAGCTGAAGAACACGACAAGCCTCCACTCTCTCCTCTTCCCCAAAATTTCGCTGCATTTTTGTGCCTCATTTGTTTCTCGTCGACAAATACCGCCGTTTTTCATCCAAAACTCAAAACTCTACACTTGATACTACTGCTCACTCCGTTGACATCTCTTCAAAACTGTTCGCATACTGGTGACAACGATTGTGAGAATAATGCTGATGGAAAAGTTTAAGGCATATTTTTATTCTATGAAGGGAAGACCAAAAAAGGCAAGGAAAAAATAACAAGTCTCAGTATTTTAAACTGAAAGATAGTTTGTCGAAAAAAATTTGAAAGCACTTTTTTAATTTGTGCAGAGTATATTACTTCCATGACCACTGTGCACAGAAGTGGTCAGCCATCTGCTTCCTGTTTTCAATTATATAAACACATATATGTTTTTCAAAAAAAAATTTTTTTTATAAATTTAAATTTAAAACACAGTTCCAATGTTCGATTGCAACACTGTATCTATAAAATTAGCTTCTTTTTGTTAGAAAACTGTTTCTTTTGCAACAATCGTCTCTGCTTTTTGCACCAATATTTTTTTTTCTTTTGATCAACACGACAACTAAACTAACACGTATTATTGTAATATGCAGACATAGTTATTATTGTATATCAATTTTATTTACACTGACACAGTCATTGTTGGTTAGCCTAACAGAAAAAGAAAAAAAAGAATACATTGCCAGTTAACTAATGCTTCAAAAGAAGCAGGGAAAAAAAAAAACAACTGAACCTAGAAATAACAGAATTGGGATGGCGGTAACGATGGTGACGACGACGGTAATACCGCTCACGACCGAATGATAATTAATCATTGTTCATCGAGTTGAACCATTATTGTGAATTCGACAATAGGTTAAATATATGCCAGAAAAAGTACTGAAATTTTCGAGACTGCAAAATGGTTAATTTTAAAGTTGAAGGAAAAAGCAAAAATTGTTTGCGATGGCAAACAATTATTGGTTCTGAAAAGATCTGAATAAGCGCAAGAGAAACAGAAGCATAGCTGTCAAAATTTAATTAAATAAAAAGCAGAACGAAAAATAAACAACAGTTTCGTTGTAATACCAAAAAAACTGCTGAGCACCAAAAGACTTTAGATTTAGCTGCTGGTTACTTTTGGTTACAGTTGCTATCCAACTTCATCATTAAATGTCTTATACAATCGTCAGCATTTGGTTTTTTTAATGGATAAACAGTTGCTTATCAATTAATATAACAGCATCCTTAATCTTTAACTGAAAAAAAAAAAACATTGAAAAATTAAAATGTGCTGATGCGTAATCATTATTTATGCAGTACCCTTTCCTACGCAGCCAAAAACTGTCATTATTATTTGTCACTTAAACAACACGATTATTTAAACTATACTTTTTTATATCGTTATATATATATATATATATAAAATTATTTATTTACATATATATTTATGTTTATAAATCGGAGATATAGCAAACAATAAAAATAGCTTTTTTTTGCTTTGTTTTTCATCGACAAAACAGCAATCATCATTAAAAAAAAAAAAAAATCAAAACAAAGTTTTGCATTGAGAAGACAGTAAATTGAAAATATGAGTTAAGCTTTCTGATTTTTTTGGTAAGGTATTTGTAGCAACTACAGAAACTGTGGGATACAGAAGACTTTAGCAAGAAAGAAGCTATTTATTTAATCACTTTTTTTTTTGGTGTACAGGTGCAGTGGCAATAAAAATGGTTAACAATTATAGGTCATATAACAAATGAAGATGCTAAACAACTGTAGTAGAATGGTAATTATTCAGAAGACCAAAAAAAAAGACACTAAATCAGTTGTTATGGAAACACATAAAAAATTTTTGTGTTATTTACACCTATCGTTTGTAGGTAACTGTGGTAAAGGTAACAGTAAAGCTGATAATTTTTTTTTTCAATTATTATCGTCGCTGTTGTTCCGATGTCAAAAGTCAACACAATTGTCTTACCAGAATTTAGGTTTCTGGGTTAGTTTTTAAAGTTAATTCTCAATGTTTATTCATAATATATTTCTTTTTTTTTTCTTTCTGTTCAAATTATTAGCTTTTCAAACGTTTACAGAGCATTATAATGCGTTCTATTTATTTTAGACGAGATTAGTTTAAGTCTGCTGGAAGAAGGAATTGGCAAAAAAGAAATTCTTGAGCGCTGTTTATCGTTGACTTTGCTACACAGAATCACCAAATTGGTTTATTAATTTTTAATTATAGACATTAGAAATTTTTTTTTCAAATTTGAACGTTCAGTTTCTATGAACAAAATCTGCTGTAACAGAGTGAGTATTTTTTAAAAGTTTTGGAAATTTTATAATTGTTTTGCTTTATTTATAGGATTACAACTGGACTGTAGAAAGAATACTGAAGTTGTACAGAATAATGCAGTTGCAATTGGAACAAACACTGGTATATGAGTTGGTATCATTTGTTCAGTTTTCCTTAGAACCCTTAGAACACCATAGTATCGTAAATTGCATATAAATCAATTAACATTTATGATAAAAAAGAGAAAAAAAGCAACCTTTTTTTTTCATTCTCTACAGCATAAGCAAAAAGAACTGCTGAAGGAAAATTTGATACTACGAAGAAAGTATGGTTTAATAAAGAAGGATGTGAAGGAAATTAGGAAAACATTCAATGATTCGATAGAAGATATCGACGTTTTGTTCAAGGTAAATTAGACAAAACAAAAATTCTTTTTTTTTTAACACTCAACCAGCAGCAACTTTAGTTCAGTGCTGATTTCTGCCTTACCAAAACATTCTGTGGTATGCTAATTATTCTATCATCTTCTCTTCATTTTGTAAAGCTATAAAAAAAGTTTGCAAAACATTTTGTATCAATAATTTTGCAAAAGAAAAAAATATATATATTTGTAAGCATTTTCACAAAGGTTAATTACAAAAAATTTGTTTACGTTTTCTTTCTAGTGTTTTCAACCTGATAGTAAACAAACGTTCGTCAATTTTTAAAATATTTAGAGCCAACTTTTGTCTGACGAACAATTTTTTAACCAAAGAAATAACAGTGGAGTAAGCAGTAAAACGTTCTGTAAAATTTAAAATAATTAAAACATCTAGTTATACTTTTAAAATTTCTGCTTTTTTTTTTTCAGTTAAATATCTTTACTTTTCAACTGTTGTTGTCGTAGTTGCTTTGATCTTTGAGCAATAACGACAACATCAGTAGCACTCAATTACCCGATGATTTAACATAGTAACAAATTGCAAAAACAAAATTTTTTTTTGGATAAAATCATTACTTCAACAAATAAGAAAACAAATTTTAAAGAGTGCATTTATTATACAAATGTTCAATGTTGATTTGTTTGGTTAAAACAAAAAATGCTTTAATGTTTTGTCTTATCTTTTTTTTTTTTACAATAATATCTTTCTTTTGAATGTTTTCAGTGTGCCATATGTAGTAAACTTTTTTTCAAAAATTCCTTCCTGTACAGTCATATTCGACGGCGTCACTGGGATGAGAAGGAATTGCCATCAAATGGCAACTGTAAAAGTTGGCAAAACTGATCAACAACAGTGTTTCCTTTGCAACAATTGCTGTTTTCCCAGTTGTTTACACTAAGTAAAAAATAGTTTACTCTAATTATTACTTATTTATTTGTTTAACTTTTTTTTTTTGACAACTGTGTTTTTTGTTACATATTAACAGTTGTTTCGTACTGATGATTTATTCCGATAAATCATTTTTACTTCAATAAATTGATTACGGTACGATTTTAAAGTTCACTTTACAGTGCATAAATCAAGACACCATTTGGTTAACTATTAAATCAGCATAATTTAAAGGTAATATTGACGATATATCTGTTAGTAGTAATCCAACTCAGGTTTGCTTTATATTGCTATTTTGTTCAAACTGTTCGTATCCAATGATGTCTTCTGTAGACAGGTGAGTGAATATCAGTTATTTAGTCTCAAACTATTCAATAGCACTGTTGCAGCAAAGAAAAATAAATAATTTACCCAGAAACGTTAAGACAATAACGAAAAAAAAAAAGTTATTTAATTTACGTAACTCTTCAATGCAAAAAAAGCTTTTTTTTTTTTTTTCTGTGTTTTTCGTGTCAGCATTAACCTGGGACGATCTGCAACCTATGAGCCTGGTTGCTAATGTTCGTTGGCTTTTTTTTTTTAAATGTAAACGATAGAAAAGTGCTTTAGCTGCCATTAGAAGCACTGGATTTTGAAAGAGCAGAAACTTTTGCCAGTGAATCACAAATGAAA